TTATAGAAAAATATTTTTAAAATATGAATTAGTTTCATTCTTTGTTTTATAATCAGCCTCATGATGTCGTACATGGGTGATGACATCATGAGCAGGTCATGTTACAGGCGATGAGGTCGTCTCTGATGAAGTGCTCATGAGCAACATTAGCATGTGTCTGTGGTTACTGACGTCACCCGGCTCAGACGAGGCCACGCCTCCAGGTGATTGGTTCGTTTGAAGATGTTTCCAACGTGAACAGGTTTTATTGATCTGGATCTTTGACCTGGAACCTCTGACCACTTCTTCTTCTGTGGTTTCAGTCACAGCGATTCTGAGAAATGCTGTGTGAAATGTTTTATTAAGAATAAAACATCTTCTCTTACGTCAGAGATGAATTATGTGAAGTTTGTTTTCACAGGTTTCAGTTCACCTCGAAACTGAAAAGATTAAAACAGTAAAATTGTTTTTTTTACACGGGATTTAGATTGAAAAGGTTTAAGTTGATTCCTTTTTAAACGTTTCCTGTTGGAATAAAATAGATTCTAGTTTTAATTGAACTTGAATAAAATTAGTTTTAAATCTGGGTGAATGTGTTTAAACTTTCTTTAAATCATTTTTACATTAACATGATATAATGAACGAGTCAGTGACGTCGTCTCCTGTTCTGTGTTTTTCACCGTGTGTCTTCTTGTCTCTTGTCTCGTCGCAGGGTGCCGACCATCATGTCAACACAGGCGCCAACATTCACGCAGCCGCTGCAGAGCGTCGTGGCACTAGAGGGTAGTGCCGCGACGTTCGAGGCTCAAGTTAGTGGTAAGAAAAAACTTCCTGACTCAGCTGAGTGGTTTTATTCCAGAACTTTCATATTTCATTTAATCTTTCATAAAAGTCTTGTCCTGCAGATTAACGTAAACATCACCCGTTGTGAGGTGATGGATTTACCATAAGTGCTTTATTTGTATGAAGGTCAACTCTGTTCTTGTTCTTCTTTATGATAAGCTAGGCTAACACTTCCCCCTGCTTCCAGTCTTTGTGCTAAGATAATAACTGTCCTGGAATTACCTGTGACTCAGATCTGTGGGTTCTCAATGCTTCTTCTCTCTGCAGGTTCTCCAGTTCCTGAGGTGAGCTGGTTCCGTGATGGCCAGGTTCTTTCCGCTGCCGCTCTGCCCGGCGTTCAGATCTCGTTCAGCGACGGCCGCGCTGTTCTGAGGATCCCCGCTGTGACTGCCGCACACAGCGGAAGATTTTCCATCAGAGCCACCAATGGTGCTGGACAAGCCACAAGCACAGCTGAGCTGTTGGTCACAGGTGAGACCTCAGGTAGATTGAACTCCTGGTCACAGGTGAGACCTCAGGTAGATTTGACTCCTGGTCACAGGTGGGACCTCAGGTAGATTGAACTCCTGGTCACAGGTGAGACCTCAGGTAGATTGAACTCCTGGTCACAGGTGAGACCTCAGGTAGATTGAACTCCTGGTCACAGGTGAGACCTCAGGTAGATTTGACTCCTGGTCACAGGTGAGACCTAAGGTAGCTTGAACTCCTGGTCACAGGTGAGACCCTTACCTAAGATATAAATCCTAGCTAAGGTAAGTTAAGGGTAGAAGTTGTGCCTGGAAACAGTCTTTGTGTGTCTGAGTCTAATTTGAGCTTCTGTCAGCGGCTGGTCCAGAGTCTCTGGATTGTTAAGAGATGAAGAAGCTGAACCAGCAGGAATCTCATGTCCAAGTCCTCAGTTAAAAATCTGCACGTCAGTGAGATGATGATAAACCAGCTTCAGGTTGTTTCTAGTTCATCTTTATTCTCACATGTTCACATTTGCATCTTTCAGTCCTGGTGTGTGGGGAGCATCATCACATAAACCTTGAAATGAATCAAGCTGAAATGACGGAAGTAAAGAAGAATCTTTTCTTAGATTGTAAAATGAGAACCAGGTGTTGGAAGTGTGAGACGTGTGAAGACGTCACCTTGGTCACTGTTAATACTTCATTTAGAGTTTACGTTTCTGTGCTGACGACAGTTTTTCTACCTCGGACTTCTTCTTCTTTTCAGTTTACATTATTGCTTTTTAACCATAGACTTATTAACTACAGGTGAATGTGATTATTTGCTTGTGTTTTTCAGTGCAGTATAATTATCGGGTTTAGTAACGATTTCCTCTTGTTAAACATCCAAATAATCAAACATTTCTCCTTTTAAATCTTGTCACTACAGAACACTGGTCATCTGATAATTATAATTAGTAAAATTGATTATTCTTAGATGTCTCATATGTGCACACTCACCTTTTTATTTCCCTTCAATGTTATTTCTTGGATGTGTGGCTGTAATTTTTTTTCTCGTGAATCCACAGCTCATTAAAACCAGGCTGACGAGATGTATTTTGTATTTTCAGCGGAGACGGCGCCTCCAAACTTCCTTCAGAGACTTCAGAGCTCCACAGTGAGACAGGGCAGCCAGGTGAGGCTGGACGTCCGAGTCACAGGTATCCCAACACCTGTGGTGAAGTTCTACAGAGAGGGAGCAGAGATCCAGAGCTCTGCCGACTTCAGGATCCTCCAGGAGGGAGACCTGTACAGTCTGCTGATAGCTGAGGCCTTCCCAGAGGATTCTGGGACGTATTCTGTGACCGCCACTAACAGCAGTGGACGAGCCACATCCACCGCTGAACTGCTGGTTCAAGGTGAGAACTTCAGCTTTGAATCTTTTGAAAATGTGTCTGAGAGTATTAGAGATCCTGAACCTGTGTGTGTGTGTGTGTGTGTTGCAGGTGAAGAAGCTGTACCGATAAAGAAAACCAAGACGATTGTGTCCACATCTCAGATGGCGTCTTCCCAGACCAGAGTGCAGAGGGTGAGACATAAAAGACAAATACAACAGCTTCCACAACATGCTCTCTTCTCCACCAGGTGAATTCTGGGAGATGAACTGGTTTTGTTCAGTGAACTCATGTGTCCAGAGGTTTTAGAGGAACCAATCAAAGAGGTGTGAGACGACAGAAGACGGTGGATCACACTGATCATCGTGTCTTTCAGAGTCTGACTTTCTTCTTCTCGCCACAGTTTCACTTTTCAACCAGTTTATTTTGGTGGAAACGCTCGGTTTCAAAATCAAACCAGAACAGAAGCAGTTTCATGTTGGTGGAAAAGATTGTTCAGTAAAACCTGATGTTCATGTAAATGACCACAGGTCTGGACTTCTATCTTACATTTGTGTTTATGGAGAATATTGAAGTCTACTCTGAAGTTATTGTTTGTTGTGAAGTTAATTCAAGAATCTTTGTTAAAAACACAAATTCTTATTCAAACCATTTTAGAAATATTAACATATGATATAAAATACATGTCTGTGTATATTTCCCTCTTCAGAAGATGGAGGCGAGTTTCCAGGCCACCGCCATGATGGAGATGCAAGTTGAAGGAGGAATGATGACTCAGCATTTGGCTCATAAAACCCCCCCGCGGGTTCCCCCCAAACCCACCTCCAAGTCCCCGCCGTCCCTTGTTTCCAAGGTGACAGGAGGACGTCAGCAGTCGCCTTCACCAGTCAGACACGTGAAGGGGCCGACGCCCGCACCTGTCAGGTACGACCGAGGCTGTGACACATGTTGATGTGAAAAATCATCTGAGACCAGTTCACGTTTTACAACTTGTGTGTCGTCTGCAGATCCATGTCTCCGTCGGCCAGACTGTCGGTCTCCCCCATCAGACCCGTCAAGTCGCCCTTAATGACCAGGAAACAGGTGAGAGCATCATCATCTGTTCACGTCCTCCAGCAGCTTCAGCTGGTTTCACAGATCAAGTCGCTTTTTTGTCGTATTTCTTTAGTGAGTGAGGGGAAAGTTATTATTGTGCTTCTTAGAACAGCCTGTCGTCATCACGTCATCATGTCCGTTATCTTATCGCTCCTCTGGTTCTAAAAGAAGAAGGCTTGAGTCAAACCTCCTTATTGTGCTTCTTTGGCATTTCTCTAAATTGATAGGAATATAAATAGGGAAATGTTTACTTCAATCCATTTCCTGGACGGAGACAGACGCCTGTGGACTCGGATCCTAAACGTCCGGTGTCACAGAAACACGCAGTTTAAAATCGGTCAATGTTTTTACGCTTATTGAAAAAAGAATTTGAACAAGATAAAAACATCAGAGCCTCCACCCTGTTTTTTACCCTCTGAGGGTTTGACTGGCGCTTCGTCTTTCTGTCTTCTCTTCTTCTGCAGGGGTTTGATGTCTCCTGACAGGAACATTAGCTCCCCCTGCTGCTTGGACGGAGACATACTCTCACTAACTTTTTGTGCCTCTTCTCTTAGTTGGCCACCGCTGCAGAGGTTCTGCCTCCCTGGAAACAAGGAGGCTATGTGTCTGAGGCTGCCTACACCAGTATGACCGGTATGACCGGTACCAGTATGACCGGTATGACCAGTATGACCGGTATGACCGGTGTGACCGGTGTGACCGGTGTGAGCGGTATGACCAGTATGACCGGTATGACCGGTGTGAGCGGTATGACCAGTATGACCAGTATGACCAGTGTGAGCGGTGTCAGCAGCGTCAGCAGCGCCACCCAGCTGCACATGGAGAAACACTGGGAGCAGCAGGTCAGCGCCACCAGAGAGGTGAGAGTCTGTTTGAAGCAGCACGACTAAATGTGAACTGATGAACTAAATTAAAGTTTCCCTGCAGGTTTGACACAACTTTTGTTTTTCACCATAAAGGAGAATTTTTTTTTCAGTCTTTCTCTCGTCTTCAGAAAACATCTGCTTCTTCTCTGCGTGTGTCTCTGTGATGTTGTGATGTCTGTTGTCATGGCGACAGAGCTGCTGCTTGTTTCATCAATAATCACTGGGTTTCTTTGTTCGAGTGTCTCACCGCTGTCCATGGATGTCCTGAGATCTATGTGCTGCTTGATGTGTCCTCAGGCTGAGGGAGGGAAAAAAGCCGGGGCGGTGGCCACGGTGGTGGCCGCCGTTGACCTCGCTCGTGTCCGCCAGCCTGTGCATGCTGAGGGCAGTCGGGCTGAAGAGGAGGAGGAGAAAGTGGAAGTGGAGACAAAGCAACAGGCGGTTGCAGAGACACAAATAGTCTCGGTGATATCAGCGGCTGCTGAAGCACCGCCACCTGTCACTGTGACGTCAGAGCAGCACAGAGTCCAGGTCTCACAGGTCCGAGGAGTAAACTGTTGTCATGATATCTGATTTAAATCCTCATCTGAGTCTGAGATCTTTAACACTTCAATTAACTCTGTTGCTCCAGATTCAGAGAACAACAGAACTCTGCCCCCTCGTGGACACCGGTGTGTCCCTGTCCCCTGTTCCTCATTTCACAGTTTCTAAAGTTTCTGTCCCCAAACATGAACAGAGTCCTGAGGTAAGGAGCGGCGCTGCTGGCCCGCCCACCGTCACCTTCCTCCCTCCATTTCATCCTTAACACACACACACGGTAACACACTGGTTTGTGATGCTCCTCACAACATCACCTCATCCTAAAACCTCTCATCGTGCACCCCCCCCNCCCCCCACCCACCACACCTCACACACACACACACACACACACACACACACACACACACACACACACACACACACACACACACACACACACACACAGTGTCTCAACATCCACTCTGAGAGAACAGGAAACGCCAAACACGACAAAAAGATATAAATCCAACTTTTCACAGACGTTCACAGAATTCTAACTTTTACTTCCAGGAACGGGGACACAAGTAAAACTAGAGAAGTGAAAGCGATGAAGCTGAAGACAAAGGATTTGAAATAAAGATCATGTGAAGCAGCAGACGTCACATTTATCATTCCACTCACAAAGGGTTAGAAGGGGCGTGGCCTTACAGTCTCCAGACGTGTGTGGACGACCCTGCTGCGACTAACTCAACACGCTTCCTTCATCGTGAACGTTTGTTTGTGACGATGGTTAATGCTGTTGTCGTTGACTCGGTCAGGTGTCTATCGCCGGCTCCGCCATCGCCACGCTGCAGAAAGAGTTCTCCTCCCCCACCCCCCACAGACACATCATCAGGCCCGTCAAGTCTCCCAGCCCGTCACGCAGAGCGGTGGACGTGCGAGTGACAACGGAGCCCCTCCCCCCACCGTTCAAAGACATCAGATTTCACAGTCAGGTTGAGGTGGGCGGGGCTTACACAGTCAGCGAGGAGGAGTTTGAGGACTGGGAGCCTCAGGTTGGTCTGACGCCTCCTATGATGTCATCCTTTCTTCACTTCCTCCATTTTAACCCATGTGGACTGTCACCTGCGCCCCCCCTCCCCCCCCCTCACTGCAGCCAATCACACGCTGCCCTCATAAAGAATCCTCTTCCTCTTCTTCCTCTTCTTCACCTGTTGACCTCTCCATCCTCAGCAGGGTTTTAACCCCCCCCCTTCATATCCACAGAATGCCTCTGCTGACGAACGCTCGCTGGTTCCATGGCGTCTGACTCGTGTTGTTGTTTTTCCTCAGGAGGCGGCTGCGGTTCCCACCAGAGCTCAGGAGCCCGTCGTCCCGCCTGCTCTTGTTGCTGTAAGTAAGCTTCACTGTCCACTTCCTGTCTCCTTCCTTCAAAATAAATCTACTGTCGATCAGCGTGGTGTAATTCAGCAGCGTGAACACGTGTCGGCCAGTCGCTCACTTTGGTCTGAACTATTTCAGTCATCAGTTTATTACGACACGGTAACTGTGATCATATCTCTGTGATCAGCACATTTATTATTTATGTATTTCTATTTTCTGTTACTTCTACATTTCTGCAGAAAATATTGTACTGTATAGTTTTATATTGTGCTTGTTACCACGGTAATTGAAATCAGCTCCAACTGTAACGTGTGGCTGAAGCATTGATGGCTCAGGATTAATGATCTGATCAATGAACTTTCATTAGATCTTTATCACAGAGAAATGAGTTAAACCTCACACTTTATTATTAATAACCATAAATACAAACACATGTAAAATATAAACATGGAGCCACATCTTCTCTGCATTGTTGATTCTGTCAAATAATATTTGTTTATGTTATTGATGCTGAAAGTGATGACATTTGAAACGACCACCTGATAAAACGATCACTGAACTTTTTATATGTGAACTACCTTTTCTTTTTTCCTTTTACTTTAATGAAATATCTGAGTACTTCTCTGAAGTGTCGCTGTCTGTGTCGCCGCCTTGTGTTCAGGGTCTGAAGAATGTGACCGTGACAGAGGGCGAGTCCGTGACCCTGGAGTGTCAGATCAGCGGCCAGCCCGCTCCTGCCGTCATGTGGTTCAGAGAGGACTTCAAGATTGAGAGCTCCATCGATTTCCAGATCAGCTACAAGAGTGGATTCGCCCGGCTGGTGATCCGCGAGGCGTTCGCTGAAGACAGCGGCCGCTTCACCTGCACCGCCACCAGCGAGGCAGGAACTGTCAGCACCTCCTGCTACCTGCTCGTCAAAGGTAACAATGGCCCCCCCCCGAAAACGTTGTCATCTCATATCTCTCTGGATTGAAGATGTTGGTTTATAAGTTTCTCATGTGACCAAGTCATCATTATTTATCAGTGATGGTGTGATGCTCTGAATCACTTTGTGGTTCATCAGATTCTCCTGAAATATTCTGTTAGATTAAAATGACTCAATCAATAAACGTTCTGCCACCTGCTGGTGAAAATATGTGTAAACAATGTCCGTTTTTAAAACAATCACTTATTTAGATTGAATTTTCTTGTTTCCACGATCCTGTTGTCGTCCATTAACGTGTTCGACCAAAACATGTGTACAAACGTGAAAGGAATGCATTGCAGTACAAACCGCGACTGATTCAAGTCTGAATTAATTATCAATTTAACTTTAGAGGTTAACTTCAGGTTTTATAAAGTCATCAACATTTACTCTCTGTTTCAGTGTCAGAAGAAATTGAGAGTAGAGAGGAGACGACAGTGTCTGAAGTTGGCGTCACACAACAGAAAATGTGAGTATAAATCATATCTTCATACAGTAAATAAAAAGTAATGCGACTGCAGATTGTGATGGAGATGATTCTTCTCGTCAGTGTTGCTGTAGAGACAAAGGAACAGATGGTGGTGGAGGTGACGACAGGAGAGTCTGCTGCTCCCTTCTTCATCAAGAAACCCAGCGCTCAGAAGCTGGTGGAGGGAGGAAGTGTCGTCTTCCAATGTCAAGTCGGAGGAAACCCCAAACCTCACATCATCTGGAAGAAGAGCGGCGTGCCGCTCACCACTGGATACAGGTACAGAACTGAGCCTCTGTTCAGACACGTCTCAAAAACATTTCATAACCTGGGTTCAGCACCAGGCCTCAGCTCATGGGTCATGTTTGGTCTCGTGACAGAGGTTGAGTATTTTCAATTCAGCTTTAAAACAGCTCATTCAATAGAACTAAAGTTTACAGGAGCAAATATTTTAACAATCAATTCATTTATTACTTTAAAGAAAACAGCTAATTTGTGGTTTCAGCTTCTCATTTTTCTGCTCTTCTGCTAATAAATGATTGTTAGTTTCAGATCTAACTTTAAATCAAACTGACAAACAAAGACTTTGTTTGAGTGAAGCGACATTAGCTAAGAGCTCTTTTCATTTACAGTCCTGAGTCGGTTATTTGAAGGTGGTTTAACGGAGCTTCATGTTCATGTGAGCTAACTTATTGATGCATATTGTCGGGTGGCAACTCAACTTTTATGTCTTTGGATTTGGTTGAAACTTTAAATCTTGTCATGTGGTGATAAGTCAGTGTCGCAGTGTCGATGCTGCTAACGTTAGCTCATGAACAAGGGTAGGTGTCTCTGCCAATTTAAAAAATAAGATGCATTATTATTAGATTTAACAGAGCAATGAGAGACTAGTCAAATCCACCCTGCACCGAAATGTCAGATTTCATGTCTTCTCTCTCTGACGCGTCCTGATCACAACTATAACTGTGGTTTTGATTTCTCCCATCAGATACAAAGTGGCCTACAAGAAGGAGACTGGAGAATGCAGACTGGAGATCTCCATGACCTTTGCTGATGATGCTGGAGAATACTCCATCTTTGCCAAGAATTCTCATGGAGAAGCCTCGGCCTCCGCCGGTCTGCTGGAGGAAGGTATCAGCATCCTCTTTTTTCTCCATCCAAGGCTTTTTGACCGCCTGACTCTAGAAGATATTTCATATTTATAGAATCTTTGTTGGACCAGAGGCTCAGTGTTTTTTTTCATCTATGTTTGCAGAGGAATATGACGCTTATATGAAGCAGCTTGACGTGACATATAAAACTGAAGTGACGACGACGGTGGTCCAGGAGCCCTCTGTGGTCGTGAGTCAATACGAGACGGAGCAGAGGAAAGTGACGACCCCCATGAGCTTTGTCTCAGAAACAGTACGTTCTCTCTAAAGATTCATCGTTCTGTGATAACAAGAGAAGTGTCACCACAGCTCGTATTTAATGTTAAACTTCTTCCTGCAGGAATTCCTCGTTTCAGCGTTTGAAGAGAGGATTATTCACGAGATTGAATTGCGTATCATGAGGATCACCTACAGTGAGCTGGTGACGGAGGACGGAGAGCTGGTGGTGACTGTAGCAGAGGAAGAAGCAATGCTACCGGCCTTCGACACTCCAGTCAAAAACTACAGAATTGTGGAGGGAATGGGCGTCACTTTTCACTGCAAGATGGCTGGAAAACCGCTGCCAAAGGTGCTGAGTTGAATATGTTGCCAACAACGAGCAATTGTATTATTGTCTAATATTAGATTAGGGTTCCTTTGTTTAAAAATGATGATTTTACTAATAAAAAATTTTGAAAAACCTACGTGGTAACTGATAAATTACCAGAGAATTTATGATGACACATAAAATTATCCTTTGCCTTTCACCAGATCGTTTGGTACAAAGACGGCCAGCGCATCAGGCCTGGTGGCCGTTACCAGATGGAGGTTCTTCAGGATGGGAGAGCCAGCCTGCGCCTGCCGGTGGTGCTGCCTGAGGATGAGGGCGTGTACACCGCCTTCGCCACCAACATGAAGGGAAATGCCATCAGCTCTGGGAAACTCTATGTGGAGCCGTCCGGAGCTGTAACACCTCAGAGATACACACCACAGCCAGCAATGCAGAGGATCAGGT